TGTATTGAATACTCACTATATTTTCCTTGTCTTTTTCACTTCATATCCATGCAGTCTTTTCTGCTCTGCTCAACCGAGTGATATTTTTAAATGTTTTGTAATTCTTGTTGATCTCTTCTGAAGTTTCTGAAGTTTTTACAAAAGTTTGATGAGACTACTGTAAATAGCTCCTCATGTAAGGCATTACTAATTTCAAGTGATGAAGACTGCTTACCTACCTATTGTCACATGTAACACTCTCAAGGAAAAACAAAAGCATAGGATTAGTTTGACTTGATTTATTTTTATTTTTCCTATATCTTCCCCAATTAGACATATTCTTGACTTATATCCAGATTATGATTTGCTATAATTTCTCTTTGCCCATTAAGCCAAATATTTATCGTTTTACTACCTGTACATTTGATTTTTCCAAACTAAGCACAGTAGTTTTATGTTTGTATGTATTGCATTAATTTGAATTCCAGATTATTTTTGTTCAGCTGATGAAGATCACTTTATATTACAATCCTGTACTTTAAAGTACTTGTCATTCCTCACCGTGGTGCCATCCACAAATCTAGTATGTGCATTCTTGATTCTGTCACATCTGTTGTTAACGAAAATTCAAAGCAGTACCAGACACAGAAGTGGATCCTGACTTGTAGCAATCTTTTGTTTTGACAACAAACCACCAGAAACTACTTCGAATACAGTTTTTCAGTCTGTTGTGCAACCAGCTTTTAAAGATTTAATCTGAACCATATTTCCCTACTTTCTTTATAAGGCTGTCACATAGGACTGTATCAGCTCTTATTAAAGCCAAAATATATCACACCTCCTTATTTCCTACTATCTATTAGGCCAATTTCCCTGTCAAAGGAGAAGATTAGATTGGTTTAACATGATTTGTTCTTGACAAATTCATGTTGGCTGTTTCTTATCATCGTGTTATCCACGCAGGTACTTGCAAATTGATACTCTAACCATTTGTTCTACATACCAAGCATAACCTAAACATTCTATAAGTCCTCTGGTCATGCTACTTTCCCCAAAAAAGTCACAATGTAGTACAATACTATGCAGCAATGTTGCACCCTTATATATCATAAAGCCTTGAATATTCTTTTACTAGCACAGAACCTTTTGAATTCTTATGACTTTGTACTGCTGACTTGTGTATCAATTCAAAGGTCATGTTTGCTATATAAGGGCAGAGCAAACAAGGTTAAAACAAAATGAATAAGGACACACTGAAGACCATTCATTGCATGATTTTCAGAACGGTGCTACTGTTGCTATTTAAGTCAAACAATTATTTCTGGCTAGAACATTTGGAAAAAACCTCTTACAGTGCATCAGAATGGAATTCAAGTCCTGCGAGCACATCAAACATCAACCCCCTGCCCAAACTTTCACAAAAGGCAAATCCTTCAGACATCTACATTCAACAAGAGAGAAAAGTAAGAGAACCCCTCTGCAAGCATTGACTTGGACGACATGGACTGTTGCTGCCTAGAAGAAACCATGAAATTAGAAAGTCTGGCAAAGTGGAATGGCAAGTTCCAAACAGGTATATAAAAAGAAAACACAGTAATTTTTTTTTTCCTCCAATCAGCATTCTTTATTTTTTTCAGTGAGTTTTAGCAAAGACTTTACTCATATACTCATATATCTGTAAGCACATGACTTGTCCTTCTGAAGTCAGTTGGACTTCATTCTGCAGGGTACTTTAACAGATGTTTAATGTTTTCAAATGCTACAAATGTAGGTATTTCACATCTTCTGAATTGGCCCAGTAGCACTTAGCAGCTGGCAAAATCTAAATGGCAACACACAGACTTGCAGCTAAACATATACCTAACTGGTTTGCCCTGTACTGGATGCACAATATTAATAGAAATTCCATACACTGAACTCTGTCAATACAAATAATAATTATAAAATTAACAAAGTTCACTGCTAAAAACAGGCCACCAAAACCTACTTTTTCTGTTCTAATGTTTATTTCTCAGCATGGACAGCTTTTGGTTACTTGCTCATTCCTTCCTTCCCTTGTATGAAAAGATTTATTTTAACAAGAAACACCGAACACACAGCTGTCAAGAAGATTTATGGATAACTCTTTTAGAAAGAAGCCAAATGATTTTAGACTATTGTACTGCCTTTTCTCATTTTTCTTTGAAACATAATTTTGATACCATGTAACCAGAAAAAAAAAGCTCTTCTGCACTGAAAGCAATCTGTATCAAAGCAAAGAAAATTCTGTATTTGCTACAAAAATGAAAAAAAACTACAGACCAGTTTTATTGTAAACATTTTCATAATGCTGTCATGCAGTAGGTAAATGGAATTTCTATTCATTACTATCTGATAAATCCTATCTCTAGTATCTAAAAATAAAGATGCACCAGTAGAAAAGCCACAAAGCTGTAGTTTTTTGTGCAGAAAAGCCATTTATTATTCTTATGACATTAAATTATGTTCAACAAAATGTAGTGGAAATGTAAGGTAGGAATATTAAGCAAGTGAATTTTTTTTCATCAAAATTAAAGCAAAATTAACAGTATGTGTGAGCTTGCCACTCACACAGTACAGTTATCATAAACTAAATAACTTTAGCCAGGAAACACTGGCTACTTAGTATGGGATGCGTTTCTTTAAAAGCCTTAATGGAGTATAAGGGTAGTAACGTCATTCACTGGAGTGAGAAGAGAGGACCACCAATTTCTTCTGCTTAGAAAAGAATAGGGGAAGAGTAAGCTGTCCCAGGTCAACCACTAGACATCATTTAGAATATAATTTGTCCACCAATCAGAAATACTGTGGGAGCTTTAAAAGTTAGTTTAATATTAAAAGAAGAAAAAAAATTATATTCAGAAAGAATGTAAGTCTCTCTAGTGCTATTAAGCTGCTTTGAAAGGATCATCAGTTCAACCTTCGACTGAACAGAGTGGCAGAACTGGAGCTTAAGCCTCTAACACATCAAGGTGTGAAGAGATGACTAAATATATGCTTAGCAGATTTTCTTCCAGGAGTTTGCTGTGAACAATCTAAATGAACAGGTTTCTTCTGAGACTAGTTTACTTGAAGCTGTAGGCAACTCTGAAAATCATCATTGTTTCCTACTCTCTCTTCTTTGGAAGACTATCATTGCATACCACTGACCTGAGTTAGTTGTATGAGTGTCCAGTGATATATTGTTTGCTTCTCTATAGAAGATTTTTAATTACAAACACTTTGCTCTGGATTCCCTCTGCCTCTAGGCATTTGACTAGTTCCCCTTAGTTGGGAAATTTTCCATCCTGTATATCTATCATCTGAGATGTGTATCTGTTAATGACTAAGTTTAATGTTGTATTCAACCTCTCTTTTGTCTGAATCTTTTTGCAGACTATTAAATAATATTCCCTCTTTGAAAGGTGTTTCACTTTTGTACATAATACTAAGGTGTTTGACATCTCTTGTAGATATATACTGTGTTTGTTTCAGCATGACTTTTTCCTTAGATGAAGCTGAAAATCCTGAAAGATCAGACAGGCAGCTCAGCCAACCTGATCTGCTGCTGCCCCAAAGTTTCCATCTTCCCTTAAGCTGCAGTTTGTTATAATCCTCTCCTGTGAATGGCTTGGTATCCACAGTCTTGGATTCTAGAATCTAGTTCCTTAACAGAAGAGCCTAATTTGACCAGACTCTCATTTTTATCCATGGGGGACATGATAGCTCCATGTGGCATATTATCCTATCATCCTTCTTAGCATCACTGTATAATAATGAAGTAGATGTTGTAAAAGGAAGGTGTCCATTCAGTTCATGAAGTAGAAAATCTGCAGTTACCAATGAAAGTACATATTTGATGCTGTCAGGTCTGGTAATCATGACCAGTATGTTGTTAAAATTCTTTCTAAGCAGTAAAAGAAGCTGATGGAAATGAAAAGCATTATTTTAATTCAGAGATGGCCAATCCTTTATAGAAGGCATCAGGGATCAGTTTAGGTTTTTGATAAATTAATAACTTCAGTAAGCAATTGATAAACTAAAACAGGTTGGTTAACAGTTTATAAATAGCTGTCCACAATGAAGTGATAGCAAACAAGACTTCTTTCTCTTCTTCATATTACTACCACTAGGAAGAAACTTTGTGGACATTTCTGGGTTGGACCTCACACTTCATTCAAATATTTTTGGTTTGACACACAAGATTTCCATGTAAAGGGTAGTGAAAAAGCAATAACTGAAAGACATTTAAGGGGTAAATAACTTTGCACCAGAAAGACACAGGTCACAAAACTTACTGCACAGACTCTCAGAAGTCAATATATTGCAGTGTGCCAAGTTTTGTTTGTATTAATAACACTACTAGAGAAGGAAATACAGGAGAAAAACACTGAAAAGCCTTTATGGGAGAGAACAGGTATTCTTTGGCAAGGGGCAGCATAGCACATTATTCTTTAGTATAGCTATTGAGTGGGAGGTCTCCTCTCCATATTAGAGACCATCTCTCCATTTCAGTTTGCTCTAAATTCTTTGGAGTGAAAGAGTGCAAGGTAGAAGAAAAATAGCATAGATCATCTGCTATATGTTATTTATTTTCTACAATTATGGATAAGCAAAGATATTGCCAAAGGGTATAAAAAAAAGGAAAGCACCTTTAGAAGGATTATAACTTAAAACAATATACAGGAGAAGAAGGGAGGCAAACATAACCAGGATCAGTAGAGAAATTAGGACCCTGCAAAGTTTATCCTTATTAGCAGAAATGGATGAATCCATTTGCTGATTTACCCTCTGTTCAACATAGCTGAAGTTGATGGCCTTACAGGGCTATCTAGAGGGAAAATCTGGTCTGGGATATAAAAATTACCGAATAATTTTGTTTATTTGCAGCACCCTATAGCCTTTTCATCTCCTGAGCCACAAACTAGAATCATGATGTTTCATTACGTTCAATTTATGCAAATTATTGTGCATACTAGAAGATAAATACACATTTCTAATCTGATATTAAATGATAGACTTACATCAGAATTAAATCTCAGCTGGCAAATGTTGCATGATATGATTTGCTTTCTTCGATGAGGAAGAGGAACCCCAAATGTATGATTTATTACAGCTTTTTGAATTGGGTCCATCTGTAAAGAGAAAAGAAAAGAAAGAAATAAAAGCATTTGCTGTTCCACTGTATGCTGTCTATGTAGCATGTAATAAGAGATAATCTACATCATGTCAGACCATATTCAATGCTACAATAAACTATAAATCTTCTTTAAAAATATAGTACTTTATGCTTTTTTAATAAAACGGAAAAGTAAAAAGGAACAAAGAGGAACATCATTAGCTATATTTAAATGCATATCTTTTAATTAGTTTTACATGTACCAATCTCCCTTTACTGAAGAATCTAAAAGCTGTAGACACTGAATAAAATTACTCGCAAAAACACTAATTTATATTTTTAGGTTATACATGAGTAAGCTCTTCTAAATAAAGTAGAAACATCTAAATAAAATGCCCAAGAAAAGAATTGATCACTATGTGAAAGAACACTATATACAAATAATATCAGTATAACACACAATACCCTAATTTTATGAAAAAAAAAAAGAAAAGATTATATCCTGGGATTTGTTGAATTCAATAAAATAACTTTGTGTACGAAGCAACTCCTCCAAACCTAAGAGAAATCTAAATCTTCCATCAGTATCTGGAAGTTATTTCTTGGTTATTTAGAAGATCTTTATTCTTAATAAATCCTAGTTTAAAGATGAATTTCAACTCTCTTAAAGAGCATCACTCTAAACAAACCACTACTAAAAAACTAACCCGTCAGTGTCTGCTAGTCAGAGTCCTGTTTTTTCTTGCTTTTTCTTTTTTACAATAACAGTGTTATAATAACTTGGCTATGTCACTGATTGGTTTTGTCTTTGAAGAGTACTGTTAAAATTCAGAAAATTTGATGAAGTCAAAGTAACTATGCAATGGTAAACCATATAATTGTATATGCTTGGAGAAAAAAATATCTAAGCTCATATCCCTATGATTCTTTTCTTTCTAATTAGTTATGAAAGGGTTATTTAATAAATAAAGAATCAGAGCTTTTTCTCAGAGTAATCAATGATTCAAGCTGTAACAATAGATAGTCATGGCTTCCTATTGCAGAGCATCTAGAAACTAGCTACAGAAATATTCCATCACGACAGSTGTTCAGTGTCAGATGTGAAATAGGTCATGATCTTAAAATCATTTATTTAGAAAGAAATTCAGATCAGTTAAAATAAAAAAAAAAAAGAGCATGCAATATGGAAGAGTGTTAGAGAAAGTTTTTGAAGAAATGTTCTCTTTGAACATCCTCTTTGATTTTACTGCAAAAATCAGATACCTTATACATTTTCACAATCACCAGCACAAAAAAGCATTAATCCCACACAGCTGAAGAATTCATTTTAAACTGTTAAACTGTTCCATAATAATTCATACATAGGTTTAGACTACTTAGAATGTGATATACTAAAAGTTCACGTCATGCTTACACTGTCATAATATGTTTCTTTCCTTTACATTTAAGGAAATCTTGGAAGTGGCTCCTATCTGCAGTTTTGCCTCCTTCACATATTCCAATATGTATTACCATATCCTAGTAGATTACTGATATTTTTACCATGTTTAAAAAATGAACAAATTGAAAAAAAAAGAAAAAAAAGGAACATTTTTTTCCTTGACCTAGCCATAAGTTTTAATTCCAACATTTTCCTCTTTTTTCCAGCTTTCTTTTTCCTGCTCCTCTGCCACCATTTTTCTCCTAATGTACTGACCCTTTGACTATACAAAATAATAAAGGGTAATATTTACCACAAACAGGTAATCTAGAACTGTTTACTATAGTTCTTGCGCTTATGCAATGAATGATGGCTGATATCAACATGCTGGGGGTTATCAGCAAGGTACTGTTCATTTAAAATCACTGTTCTAATTGGAAGTGCCAATGCAAAGAAATAGACATATAAAGTGCTGACTGAAGTAACTAACTTTTGAGAGTTGCATTCACTCACCTTCACAGTAAGGATCCCTGCTTCAAATTCAGCTTGGATTATAATGGAACTGATGCTCGCGTGCTGAGAATAAGGCAAATAATTTTACATATTTACAAAAATTCTTAGGGTGCGGAACAACTTATTTTGTATTCACATTTATTTTGGTCTCATGAAAGATATGTGGTTTCTTTCTAAATCTTTCTACAGGTTTTCTCTCCCTATACAGAGAACCATCTGTATGTTTGCCTTTCCCTTTTTAAAGAGGACTTCTAGACATCTTACTACAGAGTATGGCCTTACAGAGAACTGGATCATCTGTGTTTGTGGCTTTAGAAGAAATGGTGTTCTGCAGAGCCTTCAAGTTAATTGAAAAAACTAATTCAAATGTAAAATAAATAAACAAATAAAAAATGGTAAGAATCCAAATTCAGTTCCATAAAGCCAGACAYTAATAAAGCTGGAGGAGAAAAGTGACTAAAAGTGCTAGAGTGGTACTTGGCATTATTATTTTTCCTAGAGATACTATTTAGAAAAAAAACCCTCAATCCATAAATTACATATAAGCATTCAAAAGCACCAGATAAGCCACCAGAAGTTTTATGCAGGAAATTAAAGAGGTAACATTATACGTAAGTGCAACATGATAAGCAATCAGATCTCACAGACACTGGAAGATGGAGGGGAATCCTGCTGAGAGTCAGAGGAATAAAGAGAAGCAGCTGATTGCGAAGGAAATAGAGAGCAAGGATTGCAGAGAAGTATAAAGAGGGGAATAATATCATATAGCTGAGATAATCAGTGAGCACTGAGATACTTAGCAGAATCTCCAAGTACTTTTAGGTTCACTGAATGTCATTAATTACACACATAAACTCTACTTCAAATTGCATAAATGGTATTTTCTTTCAAAATACAAATGATCATGATAAACTGATAAAATCTGCTTTTTGGTTGTTATTACTGCTGCATTACAATAGCCAGGTTTTCATTTTATGTCTTAGATGTAATTGATTTAATTTACTCCCATTTACAGTGAAGGAAAGAGAGGTTTGCAATTCACATGAAGCATGATTCAGCTGCCAAAGCTGTGCAGAAGCAGAAAAGCAAGGTTTGCAAGATGCCTTTTTTACTCCCTATGCCAGCTCATTTGCACTGCAAGTTACAGAACAGAGGAGACCAGTTGCCCTATGTCTGATATGCTCACTACCTTTTGCCTTCCTATCAGCCAGTACTTATTATTTGCTATATACACAAAAAGGCTATGTCACATTTGTAGCCAGTCCAGAGACAGCTCAAGGTTTACTACAAGCCTCAACATTGGGCACTGAAGCTAAAGAGGAAGGTTTCACATTTCAATTAGTTCCAGATTTGTTTTCAGTGCATAAAATTAACAACAATAACTTTGTGTGTTTTTTAATTATTCCATTTTCATCTCAAGACAACATGACTCTTTTTGATCAAATATTGTGTGTTTTTTAATTATTCCATTTTCATCTCAAGACAACATGACTCTTTTTGATCAAATATTGTATTTCCTTTCCAAGATCTCCATGTTAAACCTGCAATATCCCACAGGAACTGACAATAGAACTGAAGGCATGGCAGAACTTGACCATATCATTTTGTTTTCTTAGCTTAGACCCTACCACTTCTGTTTGCTTTTGTTTATTTATTTAATATATTCAGCATTGTTAGTCCAATCATGTTGACTGTATTCTTATTACTTCTTGAGGATATCATCGAGAGTAAGAGTTTCCGTACTTTGCCGATCCTGAATTAATGGAATAGCTACTGCAGAATCACTGAGAACTTTACCCAGGGAATCCCATATTAGCCTGTGTAACTTGCCCTAAATCAGAGCTGCTATCTTTTAAGGCCTTCTGGACTCAGTTCTCCATGTGAGTTTTAAGTAAATATCTGCAGCAGACAGAACCTGGGCTGGAAAATACCCCTACAAAGCAACTTGATTCTTGAGAAATGTAATTTGATGTCATTGCCACAGATAATTCCCAGGTATGCTTCTCTGTGCTAGGACTCCTTCTTTTTTTTTTTTTTTTTTTTTTTTAAATGAAACTGAAATTCAAACACCTATCTCTTCACTATATATATGTGTGTATATATCTGAATTGCACTAACCTCTAAATGTAAAAATTAGAAGATGAAGGTAAAGGTGGATACGCAAAGCCTGTTCAGGATGTATGTTAGGTCCGAAACAGTAAGTACTTTTACTAAGACATAGAAATGAGCTGCAAAAGGCTGAATCCAATCACTGTGGTCCAATACTCAGCAGAAATACAAAGCAGGTCATCAAAGCTGTTAAGAAATATTTGCTATATATTGTGTTTGTGGTAATTCACAATTGCATAGTGAAACAACTACCCATAAAAAGACTGACCTCTATTACTGGAATAGGAAAGTGAATTCAATGATACAGATATCAACATCTTTTAGAACGTCTAAGAGATTCAAATGTCAATGCAATATAATCACACAATGAAAATAACTGATTTTATGAACACCTTTTTTTTTTTTTTTTTTTTTTACCATATGTCTACAGTTTTATATACACATTTAACTGCAGGTATAAAAAAACACAGTTGTATTAGTACACTTGCAGACAAGACATTAAAATCTCCACATGTGAGTTGACTCCTATGTGCAGATATTAATCATAAAATTCATAGGAAATAAAAAAACTCAGTAGGGACTTACTTCATGCATTCTCTTACCAAACACCAGTGAAACTAAAGAATGTTAGAAACTATGTAAATCCTGTGCCAATCATGTATATACAATACTTTGCAAGAGAATAAAACTCTAACACATTTTCCAACCTTTACATTTAGTGATGAACTTAATCCATTCTTAAATCTGCATGACTGACTGAAGAATTAAAACATAAAACTGCCCACTGCATTGCTGACTTACCAACAGAAGCAGATTCTGAAAGTTTCTCTGGACAGAATTTGAGTATTTACAGTTGAGAAGCACCTCATGAAAACTGAGCAGAACCTCTCTGCTCACAGTAAATAAAGAATTCACAGTAATTTCTCATGCAATTGCACTGCTCAAATGTACAGTTGCAGTATTATTATTATTATTTATGCAATAACTTTGATGTTTCAGAGAACTGGTAAATAGCTAGCATGGATATTACGAGCACTGTGCACCTGGGTGGTAGGTCTGCTCTTCCAGTAGGTGCTGAGTATTTTACTGCAACAACATATACAAGCAGGACAAAAATACATGTGACAGGTCTAAAACTTCCAGAATGTATTAGATTTACTGGGTATCACATATTGCAATTGACTTATGTGTACATATGCATGTCAAAATTCTTTGAAGTCTATTTACTGTGCATGTTTGAAATGTGCAACACATAGCAGATATGAGCCTTTTTAGAACTACAGCTTACAATCTACATGATGCATTCATAATATACTGGTGTCCTGGACAGAAGCAAAACAATTCAACCACACCTCGGTGATTTTAATGTAAACATATTTGAAATAATGTATTTCCATGAGAAATATATCCCAAAATCAGAAATGGATCCCATAGTTAGGGTGAACTGTCCACATCCTTCTCTAACAACACAATAATCCACAAATATGAAATTTAAACTAATCAAAGAATACAATTCAAAAGAATTGATAGGAATCAGCTTCCACTCCAAAATAGTGGAACATCTTCATTGTTCTATTTTATTTTGATTACTATTTTGCTGCTATGATCTTTGCACAAGTAAAATAATATGATGTCAAATGGTTAAAATATATGTTCTAGATGTGCTACCATGCATGGTTCATCTATTTACAGTTAATTTATTCTGTTTTGCTCTAGTAATTATGATGAATAATTATGCAGTGAATTGAATTCAGCATTCATTTGTTTTTTAGTGTCTACCACTTCTGCTCCTATTGATGAAACAGGGTACCACTAATTTGACACTTCTCTTGTACATTAAAGTGAAAAACTTGAAAAGTGGAATTGAATGCAGCTAAATATAAACCAATTCATAAAAGATACCTAAAAATCTACAAGAATGTGCAATATTTTCAGAAGAATAGCTTTTTACAAAAAAAAAAAATCTAATGTCATGTAACCTGATTATGTAATTTGAATAGTACTTAGAATGAATTCCCAAAGCTGTCTTTCTATTCTCTTGCTGAAACCTTATAAAAGTATAAAGTTTTTTCTTTAGATTAAACTTATTTAATTGTTGTACTTGACTACTTGACTATCATCTGGCTGAACATGATTCTAATATTGCTTTCTTGCTTTCCTTTCCTTTTCTTTATTTTTTTTTTCTTCTGGGCTTTTCTGCTTGGTAGTCAGATGCTGAGGCGGCAGCAGCTTTTCTGGCAAATTGCCTGAATATACAGAAACCAGTCTGAGCAAAAGGATTTGCAGTTGCAGTGGTATTGTAGAAATTCAGTAACCACATAGAGATGATGCAAATCCTTACACTCTGATTGTCTAATAATGGTTGTCAGTCAGAAGACAAGAATTTGCATATGCTTAGGCTAGTTAGAAATAATCACACAGTGATTATGCTAATCAAGCACACTAAACAACATGTGAAAGACTGTCAAACTGGAACAAATCTGTATATGTATGCATATGTAGGCTAAATGCAGAAACACACAGTGCTAAAAGAAAGGTAAGGTTACAAACAAGCCCTTCAAAGATATGAAGTACCCATAAGCCTTAATTTAACATCTTTACAAATATACATTTTCAAAATATGTTCAGATACTTTTAAGATTTTGCTTTATTCTGTCCACAAAATGGACAGCATTCACTTTATGAACAACTGCTCTGTGTTTTGTTTTTCTATCTAGTTCAATAAATAGTACTAAACCATTGACTATATAAAACTTGAATCCTGCTCTCAATGAGAATTATCAGTTTATTCACTACAGTCTTTACTGACACAGGATGTGGGTATTTCACAAGCATAATTAATTTATTTTCAAAACTTTTTTTGTTAGATAAAATGGTTTTATTTTTGTTTGTTTGTTTTTTGGGTTTTTTTTTGTTAAGTAAATTGCAAGCTGTGGCACAGGGAAGATGGACAA